AGGCACTCTACTGCTTCAGCCATGCCTCCAGTCCTTTCTGCTCTGGCTTTTTTTTTTTTTTTTTTGAGCCTGCAGTGTGACTCTCCTATTTATGCTTCCCCCATAACTAGGATGAAAGGCATGCCACCACACCCAGCCTTTGATTGAGATGGAATCTCTCAAACTTTTTGCCCACTCTGGCCTGGACTATAATCCTCCCCATCTTGGGATAACAAGTGTATACCACCACACCCAGCCATTGGTTGAGATGGGGTCTTTAGAAATCCCTGCCCAGGCTGGTGTGTAACTGCACTCCTCCCCATCTCAGTCTCCTAAGTAGCTAGGATTATAGATGTGAGCAACGGTGCCCAGCTTCTACCCAATTGCTAATAATGGATTTCCCCCAGCAAAGCCATGGGCCTTTTCTTACTAGGTAACTCTATCCATTTTACGCTAACATATGCTTTCTTTCCCAACTATTATCTTTAGCTCAAAATACCTTTTAAAATGCTAATCAAATGCTAAACAAGTAGCTCAAGTGATACAATGCCTGCCTAGCAAGTGCAAGGCCCTGAGTTCAAACCCCAGCACTCTCAAAACAAAAACAAGCACCACCACCACAATAAAACTATTCAGTGGTCTCTTGACATCTTCATTTTGGATAAGTCACTGGAATCTCAAGTTCTCAATGTCTAAGACCAAAACTTGATTTTTTCCCCCTAATTGGTTCCTCTTTCAGTCATTCCTGTTCTTAGAAAAAAATGGCACTTTCATCTAATAGTTCAAATCAGAAATTTTGGCATTAGTCCTTATAACTCCTTTTCATCTGCACCCTATGTATCAGTCCATCACCTGTTGCTATACCTGAGACTGGTATTTACGTATATGTATATACATATATATTTATATAAACAGGATTATTTGGCTTATGGTTCTGAAGGCTGGGAAGTTCCAGATCAGACAGTCACATTGGCAAGAACCACGGTGTCCGTTATAACACGAGGGAAATGAAGGGCAAGCAGGAGCATGTGGAAGAGAGCGGGAGACAATGGGACCAACGTGCTTTCAAGCCTGCTATCCAATAACTAATCCATCCTGGGAAAAATTATCTTGTGTCTTGAAAAAAGACATTAATTCCACTTAAAGGCTCTACCTTTCAACACTGCTACATTGGAAATCCAATTTCAATGTGAGTTTTGCTGGGGATAAACCACATCTGAATCATAGCCCTCATATTCTGCCATTCTGTCAACTGTATCGCTAATCTTTTCCCTTATATCTTGACTGCTTCCACTACAGTAAAGCCACCATTAGCACTGCTAGACATCCTCCCCCTAACCCTTTCCAAATAGAAACTAGAAGAGTAGTTCAAAAACATAAATCAGATATGTCTCTCCTTCATTCCACATCTCACTTTAGAATGAAATGATGACATCGTGCCCTGAGCAAAAGGCCCCCACATGACCAGAGCTGTGCCCACTTCTCCCCTTCTGAGGTCATCGCTGAGTTGCTGCAACTCTACCCAGCGCCTTTCCCTCTTACTCCGCCATCTTCTCTGCGTGTGTTCCTCCCTCATGGGGCAGTTTCTTCTCGTTCTGTCTAGCCTGAGTTGGGCGCCTCAGAAGTGCCTCCTCTCTTCAAAGTAGAAGTCTGCATCCATGCCCCACTTTTCATGACTGTGCCTATTTATCACAGTTCCCCTACTGACTTTTCACATTGTTAGGTTGATGAAGGCAGAAATATCAGGAGGCATTCACAGCACCTCACACAGCCCTAGGCCCAATAAATATCCACTGAATGAATGAATCAATGTGACAGCACACAACCTTGGTGCTCTACCTTGTTAGCTTTTCCGGTTATCTGTGTTTAGAGGTACTATTCTATTTTGGCTTTCTTTTATAAATACATATTTTAAAAAAACCAAAACTCACTCATCTGAATGTGTTCGTACTTCAGATACTGAGTCCTGACTCATGCCCAACTACTTTTTTGCCATGTCTTGCATTCCTATTGCTAAAGCCTTTTTTTTTTTTTTTGGTGATAATAGAGTTCGAACTCAGAGCTTATACTTGCTAAGCACGTGCTCCAGTGCTTGAGCCACACCTCCAGCCCTTTTTGCTGAGGTTATTTTGGAGACAGGATCTCACTTTTTGTCCAGGTTTGTCAGGATCACGATCCTATTCTCAGCTTCCCACCATTGCTAGAATGACATGTGCACCCCATCACACCCAGCTCTTGGTTGAGGTGGGGGGTCTCATGAACCTCCTACCCAGGCTGGCCTGGACCCACCACCCTCCTGATCTCAGCCTCCCAAGTAGCTGGGATTAAAGGTATAAACTAATAGTGCCTGGCTAAGTCTCTTCTTAATGTATATACATAATACACCTGCACTGTGTGTGACAGTTTAGTTTATCAATAATTCTTTTCTTCACATATCAGTTGAAACTTTTTTTGATAAGCCAAGACATATGACTACAACATAAACAGGAATTCTGTCTTTAAAATGTCCAAACAAGGGTAAACCATCTTTCAAGATCAGGCTTGGTGAATAGAAATGTGCAAGTGCACTGATCCTCTGAAGACAGCGATTTCATCACTTAATCTGTGTTTATATCTCTGATTCTTTACTCAGAGATGTGTTCAATGATTTTTACTTACATTGATTTTTAAAACAATTCTTTTTTTTTTTTTTCATTTTTCTTTTATTATTCATATGTGCATACAAGGCTTGGTTCATTTCTCCCCCCTGCCCCCACCCCCTCCCTTACCACCCACTCCACCCCCTCCCGCTCCCCCCCCCTCAATACCCAGCAGAAACTATTTTGCCCTTATCTCTAATTTTGTTGTAGAGAGAGTATAAGCAATAATAGGAAGGAACAAGGGGTTTTGCTGGTTGAGATAAGGGTAGCTATACAGGGCATTGACTCACATTGATTTCCTGTGCGTGGGTGTTACCTTCTAGGTTAATTCTTTTTGATCTAACCTTTTCTCTAGTACCTGTTCCCCTTTTCCTATTGGCCTCAGTTGCTTTAAGGTATCTGCTTTAGTTTCTCTGCATTAAGGGCAACAAATGCTAGCTAGTTTTTTAGGTGTCTTACCTATCCTCACCCCTCCCTTGTGTGCTCTCGCTTTTATCATGTGCTCATAGTCCAATCCCCTTGTTGTGTAAAACAATTCTTTTTTGAAAATTCTATTATTAAAATAATTGAAATTTACCTATAAAAATATTAGACTAGAACTCCTTGAGGAAAACCATTAAACCAGAAATTCTCTTTTGATCCCAATTCTGCTGTCATCAAGGTTTGGACACTTCTCAACACCTCTGCACAGCAGTTATCTTTAAAAAAAAATGCCTGGGCACAGTGGTCATGCCTATAATCCTAGCTACTTGGAAGGTGGAGATTGTGAGGATCACTATTTGAGGTCAGCCCAAGCTAAAGTTCACAAGACTCCATCACAAGCAATAAAAGCTGGGCACAGTGGCACACTACTGTCATCGCAGCTCTGTGGGAAGGTTAAATACAAGGCTCATGGTCCAGGCCAGCCTGTGCATAAAGCAAGATCCTCTCTGAAAAATAACCAAAGCAAAAATGGGCTGCAGGCGTGGCTCAAGGTGTAGAGCACCTGCCCAGCAAGCCAAGGCCCTGAGTTCAAACCCCAGCGCCACCAAAAGAAAGAAGCAAAGGAAGAGGATGGACAGTGGGAAGAAGGGCAAGAAATTCTGAATAATTGCTGAAGTCCCTTTCATTCACCGTTCCCGTGATTCTGTTAAGAAGGAACTTGCCCTTAATGTACAGCGGTCTGCAGCACAGAGAGATGGTGACGGCCACTTGATGGGGGCTTACCATGGATAGTGCAGTGTACCTCAAGCTTTGCCATTCAACAGATGCATGAACTTAGGATTGCTATCCTATCACCTCATAGGCAAGAAAAACAGAAGCCAAACAACTCAGTCTCATAAAGTTAATGACACAATCCCCTCAGTCACCAAAAGAAAAATGGCTGAGTAGAAAAAGTTATGAACTCAGAAAAAGCAAATCAACATGAGAGTTTTGAAAATAACTGTGGACAAAGTCTGCTGTGTGCCATCGTCTCCAGCACAAAGTAGATGTGTTTACCCAACCCTTCCAAATCAGCTGCTGGACTGTGTTCTCTTGAGAAGGTAAGATTTCAGGAACCACATGTGTATTCACTTTCTAAATTCAAGTACAAACCTCATACCCCAAAGAAATTTCAGACCATGCCAAGAGAATAGAAGGAGAATTCAAAAGTAATCTTTAGGCAGGCAGAAATGACAGTGGAATTTAGGCTATTTCCTGTATATTAGTCTATATTTAATATTAGCATTAAGCTAATCAACTAAAACCAAGTATACCAAGGAAACAATGTACACATTTTTAAAAACCAGAGAGTTGAATTCACAATTTCCTCAGGAAAAGTAATTCAAAAGTTTAATGAGTTTATACCAAGAATTGTATTGTTTATAAGTACCTGCCAAATTTTGCTTGAGTCTTTTTATTTTATATAGTCTGAATGTTGTCCTTTGGTATAGAACACATTAAAAAAAAAAAACTGGGGAAGTACCAAGTCCTCAGGAAATCAGATACCATCACTTAGGACACTGCAGAATCATTACTAAAACGGTAGCTCTACCTCCTCCAAAATTCCAATATATTTTTTAAAGTTAAATTATTACTAAACCTGTGGCTGTAATGTACTGAAAATTCCATGGTTATCTGATAGTTTCAAGTCTCTATACTTGTAGGTATGCCCAAACTGAAGCTAAACTCCAAAGAAAACTACATGAAAACCCTTAAGGTAGGAAGAGTATTTTCTACTTCAGTATAAGGTTCTATTTTTTAAATAGAAATGTGACAATTAAGAATCCACTTCTGTATAATATAAATTTGACCACCTACCCAAAAGGTATAAAAATAGCAGCAAAAGAAATATAGATAAATCTAAATAGATTGAGCCAGAAGAGCAAAGTATTTCATAGAAAGTTATTTTATTATCAGAACAGTATGATGTCACATGTTTTAGATCTATTTATTATGTTATTTTTACAAGTAGCAAAGTCCCTCCATCCTTTCCTAGGTGAATATACATGAATATAAAAACCGCTGACTGCCACACTGCACCCCACCCCCACCCGTTAGGGTCAGAGGAAGTTGTGTCCTGTGAGCTCCTCCTCAAGTAGCCATGTTTTCCTCTTTAACATAGTCTTGAACTAGCACTCAGTCATCCTCTTGCTGATTTCTTTTCTGTCAAAGGAAACCAAGAGTATGTTGAAACAGCATATTCTAATCAGGATATTTGCTTAGCCAAAATCACTGTTTCTGTCAGAAAGTATTATTTTCTAGAGGCCTTGATGAAAGATGTGGTTGAAAGTTACCATGGAAAAACACGCTTTAACTAATTCAGTTGGCTGGTTTATCACTTTGGCTCCTGGACAGATTATCCTTAGGCACTTGAAGATTTTCTTCTCTTTCTTCCATTTACATGTACATGCACTTCCTCACTGGAACACATGCAGCCATACTAATATTCATATTAACCCCTGAGTAGCCACAGCAAAGACTTGATCTTCTTGCAGCCTATGACACTATATATACTTTAATGTTAGAAGTACTGTGAACATTATTCAAAAAGCATATGCAGCATAAAAACATTTTCTATCATTCTAACTGATAATTTATGTCTTTAGCTCTCATTTCATGTTTTACTGCAAAGCAATCTAACTCGGTAATTCTGAGGCTTTCATTCATAATCATCCAATAAAAGTACAGGTGGTATAAAATGGAAATCAAATATTAAAAGCCCATTTGAAAACCAATTTGAAAAGATGGTTTGCACATGAAATATACAAATACCTTACCAGCTTAAGAAAGTCTATTAACTTGTAAGCATCTTCCCCAGTGGAGAGGTCTATGAAGTCCTTGGGCAGTCGGTAGCTCAGGTAGGGGCTGGGCTGTACTGTGGCCTCACTGTTTGTACAACGGAAAGCTGGAGAATCCTTTAGCCAGAGAAAACATGAGAGGCTGTGGGTAATTTTTTTTTTAACATATATTTTCCAAACTAAGAAAGATCCCAGCACAATTCCAAAGCCATGTTCTCTAAGGCAGAAAACAAGATTCTGAAAGGCCTCACCAAAAATTTAAAATAATTCTACATATTCACTAGAAAATAAACATAAGGCACCTAAAAATGCTGTCCACATAGAGCTAGGCTGATCTCTAAATGCCCCTGGTGCATGCCCACTGTGTGCTGCAGATAGGCTATGATCTCGCTAGCCTGAGTGGGCCAGAACTAACGCCAATTATCTCTGGCCTCACGTAATCACATACAAGCCAGACCCTTCATAAATATCATTTTCTATAGGTGTGCAGTTGAAAATGAACACTTCACAGTGAGAGCAAGTGAGTGTTTTGAATTCCATAAGACTTTTGTACTTAGGTCATTTGTGTATCTTGCTCAATATATAAGTAAAATTGCAAATTCAAGTATATCATTTTTAATAATCTTCAAATTCATTCTTTAATGTGCTTGCTTGGAGTCTTCCATATAATATTTATATGTTGTCTTGTGCCAAAAAGGATTCCAGAGACAGAAGGCTTTGAGTTTGGATTTCCTGGGTGGAAGATATCTAGGTGAGGGTGGTTGGTGTCCAGCAGAGGAAAACAAGTCAGGAATGTGAACAGATCAGGACCACGGAGCCCTAGAAAGCTGGCTGCATCTTATGACAGGCCAACTCATCTGACAAAGAGTTTTGAAGTATCTGCTTTGTGTTGGACCTTGTTCTAGGTATGGGAGATAAAGTGGCAAATGAGACTAGGAGACAGACCATAAGCAAGTGAACAAAGAAATGACCAATATGATTTCAGATAATAAAAAGTGTTCTGGAAACAAAGCTCCAAGGCAATATGCTAAAAGGATAATGATGGGGACTATTTTAGAGGGGTGGCCAGAGAGGACTTTGCTAAGGAGAGGACAACTAGATTAAGAACTGAACGAGGTGAAGAGGGCAGCCTTGTGGGAATCTGGGGGCACACAGGCTTCAGAGGTGGTGGAAACAATTAGAGTAAAGACCTGAAGGCAAAGTTGGGCTCTGGAGCTTTGTAGAACAGAGGGAAGGCCAGGTCTCTGTGGCCTGAGTATGGGTAGGAAAAGCAGGAGATGCTAGGAAAGGAGCCAGAAATCAGTTCCTAGTTCCCTTCTGTCAACCCCAATCTCTAATATTTAGAAGAAATAAATAAATAAATAAAAGATTTGGGTCACAGAGTTAATCTTGCACAAGCTGTTTCTATCTAATAAAGTAACACCTATGCTGAACAGCTTATGTTCTCTTTCCTAGTTTCAGGTTTAATGGCTCACTACTGTTAAGACAACAGCAGGGATAAAATTCCTTTATCGGTTAATTTGACAAATGTTAAGAGTCTGACACTGTACAAGTCCCCACAGATGCATCGACAATACGAGAAACACTACTCCTGTTCTCCTAAAACAGTCTAAAGTGGAAGTAGGCAAATCAACAGGTAATGTTATCAGTATGGCAAGTGCCACAATAGGGTAAATTCTAAACTGACTCAAGGCCAGAGAAGAAGGGCTGAAGAGGGCCCTGGACAGAGTAAGGAGGAAAGGAAATACTGGACAGATGGGCAAAGAAAACATGATTCCAATGAAGGCAAAGCAGCTGCCAGAAAAGCAGGACAAGATGCAAAAGAGCAAGTGACCAGCAGCCAAGACAAGAAATGGTGGAGGAACAAGGTGCGCAAGGCCTGCCAAGCAGTTCAGTATGAGAACCTTCACAGGAATTCACAAGTCACTGGAGCCCTTGGGAGCAGGTTCTGCTGAGTAGTGGGGCAGAAACTCACAGGCAGAAGACACAGAAGTGTGGAGGGTAGAAAGGTGAGAACCAACAAGTTTCAAGGAAAGATGACCATCCAGGGAGGCCAGCTGTGATGATACATCACTCCTGAGTGGGTTAAAGCAAGTGCCATGACAGCCTGAGTACAACCAGTGTGATCACACTTATGTAAAAGTGTGAGTGTGTATTCATGCAAAGAAGGGCATGGAGGTGGGAGGATGTTCAAGCCTATTTCCAATTCTCTGTTTTGTTAAATGATTATGCAAGACTAAAACGATTTTCTATGAAATGCTCACTAGATAATATTAAATGAAAAATTCAGGAAACACAATTGTAGCATAATCTCATTTATTCAAAAAGGTTTATATGTAAGTATATATGCATGATGTATACCAAAATATAAACAGTGGTTCTTGAGGTGGTAAGATTATAGATGGTATTATATTTATTTTAAAAATGTACGTGTGTGGGCTGGGAGCAGTGGCTCTTGCCTATAATCCCAGTGACAAGGGAGACATAGGTAGGAGGCTCACAGCCCAAAGTCAGCTTAGGCAAAAACAGTGAGGCTCTCTCTGAAAGACAATCTAAAAGCAAAAGGGCTGGAGGCATGTATACAGTAGATATATAGTAGTAAGTACCCTGAACTTATTTATTTATTTATTTTTGGCAGCACTGGGGTTTGAACTCAGGGCCTCACACATGCAAGCACTCTATCACTTGAGCTACTCCACCAGCTGCTGCCAATAAATAAATAAACAAACAAAAAAAAAGAAAAGATTGAACATGTATTACTGTTGCAGGCAGAAAAAAATATAGAACTTTTAAAGAAAATTTGGCTGTGAAGATGTAAAAAAGGAGAGAGTAGCTGGATGAAGAAACACAGGTGACTAAAGGAGTTTGTTGTTGTTGTTCATTTGTTTTTAAGATGGGAGCTATCTGAACCTGGCAACATCCTGATGGGTAGAAGTAAGAGTTGGTAGAAAGGAAGAGACTGAAGAAACAGCACTAGGCATCTGGAGAGATGTGGGGATGGGTGCCAGGCCGAGCAGTAAATTCTCCTGAGTGAATTCCCTTTTCCTATGAAGGAAGTGGGATGAGCTGATGAAGGAAAGGAAGGAGTGGTAGGAGATCTAGGAATGTGGAGGTGGGACTGGCTCCTGTAGACAGGGAAGGGGAAGCTCATCATGAAGCTGTGAAGAGATGTGGTCTGTGTGGGAGCATGGCCACCGCTCCATCAGTGCTCAGCAGCTGAAGCAAGGGCAAGAGAAAGCGATACATCAGCTGATGGAGATTCTCCCAGGTGGACTTGACAGAAGACAGTAAGAAAAAGAAAAATAACTAGAAAAACTGCACTGGGTGATCATTGCTTCTTTAAAGTTAAATGGATGGGTCACAATGCACACTCTTTTTGGCCATCTCCAAGGGCTAGGAACCATTACATCAGCAAAGCTGTGTTACACTGTGCACTTCCCAACAATCCATGTCATGCCTATCCATCTGCCTTAAGAACAAGCACGCAACTATTCAGTGGATTAAAAGGGTTTCCTTTGGATCTTTAAGAAAATGTTTCACCTGCTCCTGGGCATCTCCTTCACTAAGGTCACCTTTTAAGTTCTTCTCAGATATTAGCTCTTCCCAAGTAAACAGCAATGAATCTGTGACTTCACCAAATGGATTAAAGTCAATTAGCCACACCTTCCCCTGGAGAACAAAAGAAAAAATTAGTAAGGATAAAATAAAAACAACCGCAGTCTATATTCTGTCTTACTGGAAAGATTCTTTTTTCCCTGTACTGGGATTGAACGCAGTGTCTTGCACTTGCTAAGCAAGTGCTCTACCATGTGAGTCACATCCCCAGTCCTCTTTGTCTGCTTTAGTTTCATTTTTAGAGAGGGTCCTGGGACCTTATCTAAAAGCCTCAGACTGCAATCCTACAACCTGTGCCTCATGCATAGTTGGGATTACAGGTGTGTACCACCACATGGGGCCCAGACAGATATTCTTGATATTATTTCCCTCTAAGGCAACCTTACAAGGTGACATGAGAAAACTTCCTCTCCTCTTCCGGGAGTACAGGTGGACAATCTGTAGATTCTAGTCTGGGAAAGAACACTGTGACCTGGTCAGACTGCACTGAGTTAAAGTCAGGTGCATCTGAGTGGAAAGTGGCCCAGCACTGAGCTAACAGAGCCGGGGAATGTGCAAGATCCTGCCAAGAAACAATAGCCAAAGCGTTCGATCACGAAGACATTTAGAGCATGGAACAGATGCATTTTTCCCTGAAATTTTTACCTTTGCTCTTCTTGATCTTTATAGACACATCTGCATTGTAAATAGTTTTTTCTATCAATGTGCTGCTGTCAAGTCTTGATCAGATGTGTTTATAAAATAAGACATGTGAGCCACATCCCCCGTCCCTTCTTTGCCTCTAAGGACAGAGACTGCTGAGCTAATATGCTAATATCTAGCACTATTTCCCACCTGAGTTAAAGCGAAATTTTAGGAAAGGTGAGACATCTTCTGAGGACTTGCTTCAGACCTCAGAAACATCCAGTCTGTGGCACAGACACCTCTACAGGAAGCTGCCCCCATATGCCACTGGGTAAGGTTCTTATTTTATACGATCCCCAGGAGAAAGCCTGCAAATTTCTCCTGCCACTTGACTTGCTTGCTCACCTTGGTTCAGCACCCACTTCTACATGTTTAAGGCTGTGTGAAATAATAATTAGCCAGCAGTCACTTGCTGGCGTGACGCACCTGTTTTGGGGGAACCATTATTGGCTATTCTTTGATATACTGCAGGTTACTTTAACAAAATGAACACTTTCTACCCTCTAAAGCCCTTCTATTTGACTTTTTATAACAGGAAAGCTATCTCATTATTTAAAAAAAAACTATCACAGCTGTTAGTATAGGAATAGTAACCTCTGTAAGTTAAAAATACATCACACTGTAAAAACCAAACAAATCAAATTGAAAAACAAATTTAAAAATCAGACACCACTCTTAGCTCAGACTACAACAGGACACACAAACACCCCAAAACAGAACCAAAACCTATCAGTACCTATAGTATGGGTGGTATTCTGCTTCTCTGGAGGCAGAACAGGGATTATGAGGTGACAGTGGAGCACAGGGGATCCTGACTACACAGGGAGGCTGGAAGTAACTTGGAAAAGAAATTTTTGAGGCAGAGTCTCATTATATTGCTCAGAGTTCAAGTGATCCTCCTGCTTCAGCCTCCCAAGTAACTGAGATTACAGAAATGCACTACTGCACCTAGCTGTGGTAACCTGGAATTTAAAGAGTAACAGGGATGATGATCTGGGAGGAGAGTGGAAGGTGGGAGGAAAAACAGACAATTTCAGAGGAAAACAGTAAAAAGAACAATAAAAACTGACATATGTAAGGCTCATGGGAGCTGACAATGGGTTACTTTGGCTTAAGAGTAAAATACATGACAGCTCCAGCAATATGGTAGATTCAGATAATTCTAAAAGCTCCTGTTCTAAACAGAATGAAATTCACGATAAAATAATCCCTTTAAAAGCATAAATGCCAATTTTGAGAAAGGGGGAGCTTCTGGAGCCAAAAATGAAGAGGAATCTGAAAAACAGCAATGCCAAGAGTATAAACTGAGCTGTGGGAACCTGGGGAGGGTAGAATCCCTCTCAGGATCCAAGGGCATGGGTTTTAACATGCACACAGGACTAGCAGACTGCCTTGAAGAAGGAAATTAGAACTAGGAAGTGACTTCAGAGAGCTGCGACCTCAGTGAAGCTAGTGTACAAAAAAAAATCTATTGACTGGAAAAGGAGCCAATGTCATTGTCATTCTCCAACTGGGTTTTGGAGGACATGAGAGATACAAATGAAAAATTCAACATTTAGATCATTGGGAGTCTCAAACATAAAAGCTCTAAGATGAACTCAAAATAAAACAAAATGACTGACAAAAACCAAATGAGGGACTGTAATTGTAACAGGGATTAGAGCCCCAAGAACTGGGAAAAATTATAATCAACATGGGAGATAATAAAAGTAGATACTATAGCAGGACAACTGGGTAAAAACCTAGAAAAAGACAAAGTTGGTTCTATATTGCACACCAAATATACAAGGCCAAACTGTTTGATCAAAGACTTAAACTGAAAACAAGAAACCATAAAAGAACTAGACCAAAAAATGGAGAGATATTTTTCAAAACTATGATTAAAATTCAGAAGCCACAAAATAAATGAGTATTTGGTCTTCATGGCAAAAAGACATAATAATGTGGGATATTCACCGCTAAAGGCCTAGCTGCTAATGTATGAAGAAGTCCTCTCTATTCAATAGAATAGAAATATTCAATAGAAATAACTCGAAGACAATTCACAAAATGACCCTTAAATATATAAAAGATAAACTCCATTCTCACTAAGAAAAGCAGAAATTGAATTATACTGAAATGTCATTTTTCTACTAAAACTTAAAAGACCTTAAAAAGTTTGACCATCTACTCTGTTGGTAAGCTTTGAAGAAACAAGCAGGAGCTGTCATAGATTCTGGGTGGACTTTTGTCTGGTGTAACTTCTATGGAAGGTCGACTGTAAGACCTATCAAAATGAAAACATATTTAGTCTTTTGAGCCCTCAATTCCACTTCAAGGAATCTATGGCATAGAAATACTTGCATATCTCTGATGTGACGTGTACAGGATTACTCATGACAGCGGTCTGCAAAAAACTAGAAACAACCCTAGAATCCATCAACAGGGAGTGCCTAGACAAACTACAGCATATCCATAAAATGAAATGCTATGTCATAAAAAACTGGAAAGATCTCCAAGAGACAGTATATTTTAAAATGTGAAAAAAGCAAGGTGTAGAATGTATATCATATATTGATTGCATCTTTAAACAATGAAATATATTAGCAATTAAATTATAAAAATAAAGCTGGGTGCTGATGACTCGTGCCTGTAATCCAGCTACTTGGGAGGCTGAGATCAGGAGAATCGCAGTTTAAGGCCAGCCTAGATAAATAGTTCATGAGATCCCATTTCCAAAATAACCAGAGCAAAATGGACTGGAGGTGTGGCTCAAGCAGTAGTGCACTCACTGCATGCTAAAAACCCTGAGTTCAAACTCCCAGTCCCACCAAAAAACACAAAAATTAAAAACAGCTCGGTGGGTTTTAGGTTTTACAGAGCAGTGTTTGCCAGGCTGGAGTGCTGCCAGGGTCATGAGGGAACTTGAGGAGAGACTGAGCACTTCTACATCTTCACTGCTGGCATGTGTGAGGTCCTGGGAAGGAAAGAGGAGAAGAGGCAGAGGACCCCCTCCATTCCGCAGTTTAAATGACTGAAAAAGTAAAAGGAGCTGCCCTAATATACCTCTACCCAGAGCTCTAAAAGAACAGAAGAGAGAAAAGGTAAGGGCTGGGAATCCTCCACAACTGGGAAGGGGATGAATTCTTAGACAGCATACAGGAAAGTAACGAGAGAGGATGGGAGGGAAAGGATGGGAAGGGAGGAAAAGAGAGAGGGGGGAGGAAAGACAAGGGGAAGGAGGACGAGAGGAGCGGTAAGAAGATGGGAGAAACAGAAAGAAAAAGAAAACAAACAAAAAGCAAAGAGAAGAAAGAAAAAGTCAAGCCAAACAGCAATGAAGTGGTGTCTTTGAAGCACTAAACAACAGGACTGGGTCAGCTGAAAATTCTCTGTCCATCTGTGCTTGTCATTCATGCCTGAAAGCTGAACACACTTCTCAGCCAGTGGCTGGGGGAACTTACCACCACAGGATACACTACTAGAAAGAAACTGGACCCAGAAAGCAGCATGGCGGCAAAGGGCACTGTGAGCGAAGAACTGAACAACAGCAGTAATAATTAATGGGTATAGGACCAAGGTGGAAATAGGCATCACAAGTCACACGTAAGATGAGTGTGGCTACTAGAATTATGCTCTGAGGCCTTTGCACCATTAGTGCAACAGGAAGTGAAATGAACTTTGACATTTATTAAATATCCACATTAAGATTTAATGCTATCAAAGTAATAGAAATAAAACAATCAAAATCATGGGAGGGTGTGCAGAAAGAATGAAGAAAATTCAGTATATCTAAATAAAAGGAGAAAAAAGTAAACTAAAGAAAGTAAATCGAAACTCAGAATAAGATGGCAGAAAACATTCAAATATCAAATACAAAAAGTAAAAACCAAACTCACCAGTTAAACCCAGAAATTGTTAAGTGTTTAAAAAAACAGAACACAGCAATATGCTATTTACACATCTAAGACAGCTAAAAATGAAAAAATGGAAAAAGATTCTCAAACAAAAACCCCAAACCTGTAATAATGCTATTAATATTAGACAAAATTTAGACAATGTTTTAATCCAAAACACACAAGAGCATTACTAGGGACAGAAAAGGTCCCTGCCTAATGATAAGAACTCACTGGAAAAATGGAACCATCTGGGATGGTTAATTTTGACTGTCAACTGGATCAGGTTGAGAGACGCCTGTGATATTAATGAGGCACACTTCTAGGTGTCTGCAGGGGCGTTTCCAGAGAGGATTGGCATGTGAGCCCGCCCTGAATGTTGCAGTACCATCCAACAGGGTGGGAGTCCAGGTGAACAAAAGCAGGAGGAAGCCTGCCAGCACAGTCTTGCTCTCTCTCTCTCTCTTTCTCTCTGCTTCCTGACTGCCATGAGGTGAGCAGTTCTGTGTCACTTACACCCTCTCCAAGGTGCTCTATCTCACCACAGGCCCACAGCAATGGGGCCAAGCAACCATGGACTGAAACCTCTGAAATAACAAGCCAGAATAAATCTTTCTGCCTTTTAAGTTATTTATGTCATGTATTTTGCCACAGCAATGAAAAGCTAACACAGAAAAGCTAGCATTTATCTAAGAGCATAACCTCAAAGTATATTACAAAAAAACCAACAAAATTAGAAAGCAGGAGGTGTTTTAACATACCTTGCTCAGGTAACTAATAAATCAAGTAGAAAAAAAAATTAGAAAGGATACATTTTTTCATGTTTTTTAAACCTGTCAGGTTTAAAAAATAAAGTTTTAAGTGTGGAAAAGTTTTGGCTAGGAATGTATCTTAGTGATACAGCATGTGTGAGGCCCTGGGTTTGATCCCCAGCACTGGAAAAAAGAAAAAGAAAAAATGTGAAGAAGTGTAAACATACACAAAAGTAGGAAAACAGCATAAACCACTCCATTTCCTCCTTGTCAGTTTCGTCAGTTATCAAGTGATTGCTAATATTCTTCCATCTACATTTCTGCTCATTTCCCCACAATGCTTACTGTTTTGAAGGAATCTTCAAACATCATTTCCTCCACAAGGTACAGAAGATTTTAACAACACTGCAAACAGCTTAATCTAAAGCCATCTAAAGAGTACACATTAGAAATTACACTTTCTTCTTCAAGCACACACAGAAAGAATGACAAGTTGTAAAGCCAATTTCGACAATACCAAGACTCAAGATTAGATATATTCAGTCCACAGAGCAATGAGATAAAAATTAGTAACAATAGTCATAGCTGAGAAGAATACATAAGAGAAAGAGAGTAATTTTTTAAGACTGTAAGACAGTCATGTTAAGTTCTGGCTGTGCACTGTCACTTAAGGAGTTTTTAAAAACACATATTTCAATGCCTCGTCCTGGACTCACTGAACAGGTGCTCATAATGTGACGTACAGAGGATGGTTAGGATCTATCAATGCTGAGTCAACTTGCCCAGCAACAGTAAGAAAGCAGACACATCAAAGTGCTGCCAGGTCCAAACACTGCATTTGCATTCCATGTGAGAGACTGTTTATTATAAAAAGTTACACTCTTCAAGAATGGTCACAAAGTAATATATGCAAGAAAGTGTCTACCGAACTCTGATAGAAGTGCCATGAGGCAAATGCAAATGAGTTGTACAATATGGTTTAACTCTCTTAACAGAAACTGTCAGGATGTTTACCCTGGCATGTTTCTCACTTTTAAAAATGTAATGAGTTCAGCTTGGCAAGATCACAGCAGTAATGACTTACATACGTGCCCAACTTCACTGTATGTGTCCCACACTTCACTGTAAGACTTTTCCCAAGTTAGGCATCTGTATCTACCTGTCAGCCCTGCTGAAGTATACCACGGCATTTGCAGGGACAAACTGAGACACCCTGGCAAATTTCAGCATTATAACTGACAAGAAATAAAATAACTGCCGGGGCTTAGTATCTACAACGCGGGTAGATAGGTAATACTACCTCACAGTTTTATACGGATCAAGTGAGTTATTGAGAATGAAGCCTTTTGGAGCAATGAATACATGCAAGACAACAGTCTGGGTCATGCACTCACTAATGGCCTCAACAATGCTTGCCAGTGTGCCAGTCCCTGGAATGTCTGCGTGTCTGTCATCCCCATGAGAAGAGGTTCTCCGGTTTGAAGCCTCCTGTTTGAAGCGTGGGATCCGGCACATTACAGACTCTCAGTAAATGTTGGCTGCGTGAGTGATTTGAGTTGGCTAATGTCTACCAGTCAGAAGCAGAGCCAGGGTGAGAGCCATGGACTCTTGCCCATGCTATCAGATTTCTATCCATTCCATCACACCAGCTTCCCATCTGTTTCTAAGGTTTATTTCCAGAGTTGAAACTTTGCCAAATAACATCCTCTTCTTTGCCTAAAGTCATTTTATAGTTTTTTCTGACTCTTAACAGCTACCATCATTCTGAAACACAGAAGGCACAACGATGTCTTTTGGCTTAGTAGAGAATTAAACAGTCAACAATTATACTGGGATATATTAGAATGTGACTATGGGCAATATTCTTTTGTTCAAAAGTGATTTAAAGCTACCATGGGCATCGCTGCCACGGGCTGAAAAGAGAAGGGGAATGAAAAACAGGGCTGGCGTATGGTGACACAGTAGAAAACATAGTTGATATCTTCTTGACAGCTAACTCAATGAGCAGTAATCACAGGACAACATTTAGTAACTGAAAGTTCTCTGAAAAGATTACATATTTTGGATAGTGAAATCTCTAAGGTAGGAATTTTATACTAAGTCAGGCCTTTGTTTTCTGTTTTTATCATGAAAGTTTTCACCACTTTTGAGATTTACAGAATGACAGAAATTTCTCAAAAGAAGATACACAACCTGGATGTGGTGATATATAACTGTAATTCCCACTCTTGGGAGGCTGAGGCAGGAAGATCTTGAATTTGAGGCCATCTGGACTATATAGCAACATGGTCTCAAAAAACCAAACCAAACTAAACCAAGCCAAACAAACAACAACAACAACAAAAAACTAAAAGACACATTCACAAACATATGCGTATATGCTCAATATCACAAATCATCAGGGAAAGGTAAATCAAAAATATAATATCACTTCACTCCAGTCAGATGACTGTTATTAGAAAGACAAAAGATAGTAATTGCTGGTGAGGACATGGAAGAAAAAAAAAAACAAACTTATGCACTGCTGGTTGGAATGCAAATTAGTATACCCATATGAAAAACAGTGTGTAAATTCCTCAAATAACTAAAAATAGAACCACCATATGATCCAGCACTTCTACTTCTGGGTATATATCCAGAGGAAGTGGAGACATCTGTACTCCATGATCATTTAGTACCATTCACAACAACAAATGGAAACATTCCAAGTGTCCATCAGTTAATGAAAAGATAATGTGGACATATAAACAATGGAACACTGCTCAGTCATAAAATAAATGAAATTCTGCCATTTGTGACAACATGCATGAAACCAGAGATCTTTATGAAGAGTGAAATAAATCAGGCACAAAAAGACAAGTATAGCCTGGTCTCACTCATATGTAGAATCTAAAAAAAGTTGATTTCAGACTGGTAGAGTACCTGCCTAGCAAGCGTAAGGTCCTGAGTTCAAACCCCAGGGGGTGGGACAGGAAGACAAGTAGATTTCATAGAAGCTGAGAAAAGAAGGGTGTTAACAGAGACTGGGGGAGGTGCTAAGTTAATAGGAGGAACATGACACTCGGATGCGCTGCTGCTGTACAGTATGGTGACTTTAGATAATAACAGTGTACAATGCATTTAAAAGAAGTAGAAGATAGGATTTTGAATGATTTCACCATAAAGACAAATGTTTGAGAAGGTAAATATGCTTACCCTGCATTAAACAATATACACTTTTACTGAAACATCAGATGCTGCCCCATAAGCATGTACAATTTTTATGTATTTTTGTATCAGTTAAAGAAATAAATTTAAATTAAAAATGTTAAATATACTAAGAGAAAAACTTTTAAAAATAAATAAACTAATGCTCATTTTTGGTCTAAAGACAAAAGTGATTCAAATCATGCTACAAATCTTTTAGTTGACTAAAAATAAAGCCTAAATACCAAAGGACAAATTCGTGGTCTTTTAAGTTCCCCAAATTACCTATTTTAAGCAGGGCTAGGCCTTTAGCAGAAGTGTAAAGTGGGGCATAAGGTACCCATTTATCCTTCTGTTTAAAGAATGATCCCTACATCTCTGTGTATCATTGCTTAGAACATCAAGCAGACTCTTACCCACTCTTACCCACTGTGAATTCCACAAACTTCAGTTGGTTTGCACAATGGACCATTCACACACACAATGGCTGGGTACTGAGCTTGCTTACAAGACCAACCCTGGTTTTAAGGCATATCAACTTAGTTTTTACTTACCCTACTGTCTTTGTATATGTCGAATACAACTGTGAAGCAGAAAAAACTCAGTTATTAATGAACTAATACTGTCGTGAGCTAAGTCTCTTTTTGAAAAATTAAAGAGCATTTTTTTACTAAGCACAGCAGAATATAATTAGCCTTGAGTATTTACTGCTTTCAGATCTCAAAACTTCTAACATAAAAAGGCACCTTGCACTATTTACTTATATAACTTTGCTTTCCTTTCTCTATCCCCAACTATGAAAATCCCTTATATTGAAAAGTTCAAACCAAACACTAACCTCATCTCAGGCAGTTTACCATTGTAAACCAGTTACAAGGGAAGAAGGAAGCTGTCATTAAGTACAGTATTAATGAAGAGGGCATCAATCACTTATTTGAGGAATGAAATGAATAAAATTTGTCATAAGAAAGCATAAAAAATCTAATTATGCTGATGGCATGACTCATCTGTGTTATAAAGCTCAATCTTTTGAGTAGAGAAAAATGTAAATCATAAATAAAATTTTAAGATGTAGAAAAATTCTCTTAAAATATGCTATGGATTCCTAAAAAACACCTGTAAATGTCTGCTTTGTAACTGATGTTGCCTTTGATCATTCAAATGCAGAAACTAGCAAGGTAGAGCACTGTGTTCTCTGTTAAATAGCACAAATATCTAAAAGGACAGGAGAACTATGTCAGGACTGAAAATGAATTCTAACTAAATAAGGTGAAATTAACATGCAAACCATCAGAAATATCAGTGAGTAATATATTAAAATATTTAAAATGCAATGTTTCAAATCCAGTTTTTTTTTTTTCTTTTTTTGGGAGTAGGTGCTGAGGACTGAACCCCGGCCTTACATGTGCTAGGCAAGCATTCTACCACTGAGCTAAAATCCCCAGGCCTCAAACAGTTTTTAAATATGCACCTTTGTTGAAAAAAAGGTTCAGTAATATTATTTACTTTATTTCATTTTACTGACTCAATAAAAAAATACTCACAGTCTTCATCTAAGAATTTATACTGTATGTGTTTCTTAAAAAAGTCTTGTATGCATCTGCAAATTTCTTCCTTCTGTTTAAAAATATGATCATAGTATTGTGTATAGTCCCTCTGAGAAATACCTGAAAAGAAAATGGTTTATGTTGTTATTATACAATATTCTTTTTAAAAACGTCAACATGTAATTTAACTTTTTTGAGGAAACCATCACAGTAGATCAGAAGACTGATCAGAGACTATTGCACTACACATTATCAATTGTAAAAATCATGAGCATGGTGAATCCTAATGGTCCACACTGCCATGCAGTCTCACTTTTGGAAACATTTTTTCTTAGCCCAAAGGAAAAACTCCAGTCATAAAAAGGCTGTTATGTAAGAAATGAAAGTAGCAGTTTTAAACTCATACACAGTCACCTGCTGGAGCTTTGATTTTTCCAAAGAAGTCTCTAGAAATTAGTATTCTCTTCCACTTTTTTTTTGAAAATTTAAAACAGTCCTTCCCATATGGCTGCCATGTTTATGCTATATCACAGAAGCAGTCTGCTTTTCTTGTTTACACAGCCACTCTGCCTTCACAGCCTGATCTTTCAAGCAAAGGAAAGAACCCGCCTTTCTTCAAAGGGTCTTTGCTCTGAGGTAAGGGCTTTCGATCCCTTCACCAAGTGTCAACGTGACTCCCTTCTTTAGCATACTTACATGGTAGGGTTTTTTTCAGGAATATCTAACAATATGATAAATTCAAATGTCCCAAGTTTCTTTTAGTTACATTAATAAAGTCAACATCACACTCAACAAACAGTGTTGATTTGATTCCACTCAAATGACACTTCTCTTGGTTGACAATAAATTTTACTTTATGGCAAACAGGCATAGACAAAAATGTTAAAGAACAAACTGTCTTCAATATTTAACTTGAATGAATCATAGCAAACAGAATAGAAACCTGAGAGGAAAGAAAACAGGTGACTTTTAGAGTAATTTTTAAAATTTTTTCACGTATTTTCTTTTGCTAGAATAATAAACAGTGTTCCCAATATTAAAAATAAAGTTCAATACCCTGGCTTTTTCTGATGCTCACAATAAGCAGTCTGCTGCTGGCAACCCTTTGGAAGTTTCCAACAGAAAGTAGGCTCTGTGATATACGTTGCACAGTGGGGATGGAAACAACCACCACTTCATCTTGGGCCCATTTGTACAGGATTGACTGTTGTGCCTTCTCTGTGGAACCTGCACAAGGGCATAGGAACTCTCAGCAGCTCAGCACTGCAGACAGTCAGCATCAACTGGTAGAGGTGACATCTGAGATTAAAAGTGATGGACGACCCTATCCCAATCACTAGAAATTTAGTTCTATCAAAAGCTGACCTATTCTTTGGTTTTATTGCTCATTGACACATGATTATATATATATATATATATATATATATAAAATGGAGTACAGTGTGATGTTTTGATATACACAATGATATGTACAGTGAATAATGATAAAATTAGGATATTCACACAACGAAATACATTTTAGCCATAAAAAAGAATGAAATCTGAACATTGACAGCAACATGGTTGTAATCTTCTTTTTCTTTTGGTGGTTCTGGGCCTTATACTTACTAGACAAGCACTCTGTTTCTTGAGCCATGCCTCCAACTCTTTGGGGCTTTTGGATATTTTTTAGATAAGGTCCCTTCTTTTTACCCAGGCCAGCCTAGCCAGTGATCTTCCTACCTGTAGCCTCACAAGTAGCTGGGACCCAGCTTATTTGTTGAGATGGGGTACCACTAACTTTTTGTCTGGGCAGACCTCAAACCTCAACCCTCCTGATCTCTATCTCCTATGTAGCTAGTATTACAGATGTGGGCCATCACTTCTGGCATTATGGTTGTATTCTTTTAAAGATTATTTTCCGGCTATAGCTCAGTGGTACGGCACTTGCCTAGCATTCACAGGCCCTGGATTCAACCTCTAGCATGGAAAAAAAAAAGTTAAAGAATATTTTCAAAGGTACTCACCAATAAGCTTGTTTTCCTTGACGAAACATCGGAACTCAGCTCCAGGAATTAATTCACACCATTTTCGGAGAACAAGCTGTAGATAAAAGAAAAATGTAACATAAAGTATGCGAGAAGCTCTGATAGACAACTTCATGCTGGGACACACACACACACACACCTGTTTCTTTCCAGAAGAGTCCTACGAATACATAAGTATACAGCATATTTTTAAAAATATATACAGATAGAAGCATAGGATTCTGTTTGTTACTTTTTCCATTTTAATGACTTGAAGAATATCACTTTCCAGCTGGCTTGGGCAAAAGTTAGCAAGACCCTATCTTAACAAACAAACCAGGCAATCCCAGCTATGCAGGAGGCACAGGTAGGAGGAGTGCAGTCTGAGGCCAGTCCCAAGCAAAAACTGCAAGACCCTATCTGAAAAATAACTAAAGTAAAAACAGGGTGAAGAACACGACTCAAGTGGTAGAGCACTTGCCTAGCAAGCACAAGGCCCTGAGTTCAACCCCCAATACCACAAAAAAAAAGAGCATATTCTATAAGTATGTGCACACTGTATGTATTCTGCATATATATTCTGTAAGTAATATATATGCATGATAAATTTCTTTTTTAATTGGTTTATATTAAACTGTACAAGGTAAGGTTCGTTATGACACTTCCATGCTTGAATATGATGTACTTTGATCACATTCACTCCATTATTCTTTCCTATCCTCTCTCCTCCCTCCTCCTTGATAAATTATTAAATTTAAAAATTCAGTGGTTGTAGGATCCCAGAGAAATTAATTCAAAACATTTAGCTCACTTCTCTTACAAATAAATAGTAATTTTTTGGGTGTAATGGTACAGGCCTGTCATTGCAGCACTCGGGAGGCAGAGGCAGGAGGACTGTGAGTTTGAAGATAGCCTATGCTATAAAGCGAGACCTTGTCTCCAAGAATCAAGGGCTAGAGATGTAGCTCAGCAGTAGAGCACCAGGCCCTGGGTTTGATCCCTAGCACTAAAAAAAAGGAGAAGAAATACCAATTTTCAGCACATGGTCATCTAGGATTATTAATGAGACGGAGGGAAGAAAAGGTTGCTCACCTCATATTCCATGCAAGGATCCGGAGAGTCATCAGTACAATGAAGGAATCTTGGGAGAGAATAAAGGAAATTGATTTTTTTTTTTACTGTAGTCAGTTTATGCTCACACAAGACTTATATTTAACATGAGAATCAGGTTTCATTAAAAGCATCCAGAAACAAGGGACGAATTCAAATTCAATGAATATTTATTAAGCATTATTTGAGTCTCTGCATTATTAGCCTTTGTGCCCTAAGAATTTGTCTCATTTAACCCTTAAAACAATGTTGAGCTCTTACAATCATTGTTACAGCATAATCTCCAATTTTTTTGCCAAAATGCAAAGAAACTAAGACCCCCAAAGAGTCCAAATTTAGCAACCAAGCCAAGATGGTAACTACCCACCCAACTCTTACTCTCAATAAAGGCAGGATGGCGCTGCATGTGACACAACCTCCTGCTGTTCACCATGTGGCTGAGCCGGCAGGCAGCCTATTGCTGCGGTACCATCAACTCTGCCAGCTAGAGCCCCACAAAGCTAATCCATGCGTCTCCCACGTGCCATTTTAAAAAATGTTTAACCTGTCAGTCCTCCATGAAGTTTCTCCCTCTTTGCAGCACTCTCAGTAAGTGACGAGGACTAGCTAAGACAATGGGAATGGAGAGGGAAAGGGGAAGCACTGCATAAAGGTATTTAGCACTTTGGAGACTGAGGCAGAACAGAGAGCTCAAGGCCAGCCTGGGCTACACAGCAAGACCCCATCTCATAAACCAAAAATAAAAAAGATAAGAGGTAAAGCTCATATTATTTGGTGACTGACTGAAAGGGAAGGAAGAGGGAGGGAGAGGCTGGGATGACTGTGGAGTCAGCTGCAGGCTGAAGGCAATGCCATCCACTAAGACAGAAGCAAAAGCAAGTGGTATGGGGTGAGAAGAGACGGGAAGAACTCTACTAGGTATACAGAATATTCACACAGACATGTCTATCTAGTAAGCAACTCAGAAGATAAAGGAAATAAGGAAACTCAGAAGAGAAGGAGGCATGCAAGGCAATTATTTGGAAGTAATAATCATGCCAGTATAAAAGCTAAAGTCAAGGAAACAAGTGATTGCTCTAGACAGATGACAGAATCCTGAGAACTACCAACAATTAAAGAGTGAGCAAAAGAAAAGAAGGCAGAGAAGGTTGAAATAAGGGCATGAGAAATGGCGTGCTGACTGTCAAAGAAAGAGTGTTCCAATAAGAAATCAGTGAACTTAAATGTCACTTAGTCAGGCTGACTGACTGCTGGATCTGGTGACTTCTGCCAGAGCAATTTTAGAGTATTCCTCCTAAGGTGGGATCTAGACTGCAGAGAACCAAGGAATGAGTAGGTAGTAAGAAAACAAAAATACATCCTTCAGAGCAGCTGAAGAGATAGGATTTCCAAGATTGAAGAGATAGGACACGCGGAGAAAAGGAAAGGCAATGTTTAGGTGGCTATCTCAGTTTCCATTTTTGAGATTGACATGAATCAGCAGAGAGGGCTGGATGATGCAGGAGAGAAAAGGAAAGGAAATGAGAAGGCTTATGCACATAGTACATAACTTGCAATATATAGCATACATGTAACTTGTAGTCGAGAGACATGTGTAAAAGGGCAACTCACAAACAAAATAACACTTTTAAAGACATCTTAAGTCACAAGTAAACCTGAGTTCAAATAGCTTTTTAATTTCCCTGAGAACATGGAATTCTCTGCAATTATTTATGATTTATATAGTTTGATTGGCTGAAATCCTGAGAATCTCTATTGCCACTAATAAATGACTGACCTAATCTGCATTGCAGAAAAAGGTACACATGGTGTGTTTTGTCAAAGTCTGTACTAGTGGGCTTCCACACAAACCCTATCAGGAAGTGCTGTATTATTATCACTATACTTATCACACAGGGATACCAAGGCTCACAAAGGTGAGGTAACAAGTAGAGGAGAGTACACTAAATTACAGGCCACCCCATTTCTCTCAGGATGGAGGTTCTAGAGCTATTATTAAAACTCTTAGATTAAGTTAGAATACAAAACAATATCCAAAAACAAACAAACAAAAAAAGCCACACAAATACTGGTAAGACTTTAGCCTCAAGCAGTATCACTGCTAAAAAAGAAAAAAAAAAAAACACACCTGCCAACAACTATAAATTCCATTTCCATAACGTAAAATGACTCTCCCAGCATACCAACATGTCAAACTTCTGCTTCATACATTCAAGCACAAACTCGTGCTATTTTAAGACTTCATTTTTCTCTGGAAAGCAAAAATCCCTTGCTTCAAATCAAACTTATTTAAAGGTAATTACCCAGAAAAGTTACAATCGAAAACTAGAAAACCAGCTTTCAATTTTTAAAAAATTTTTAATCTCAAAATTAATCTCATAGGTTGTTTTATGCTAATCAAAATTAAGATCATGAACTGTCAGGTTAATAAAAATTAAAATTAACCTAATAATTTTATCCTTAAAAAACTGAGCCAGGTATGGTGGCTCATAGCTACTTGGGAGGCTAGATTGGGTGGATTGCAGTTGAGGCCAATCTGAGCAAATAGTTTTGCAACATCAATAACCACATCAAAATGGACTGAGGTGTGGCTCAAGCAGTAGAGTGCCTGCTTTGTAAGCATGAAGCCCTGAGTTCGAAACCCAGTCTCACCCTCCCCCCCAAAAAAAGCATGTCACACCCCCCCACCTGCCCAGGATCAGCAGACTGACAAGCATTAAGGATGTTTCAGGAGCTTTCCACTATACATTTTCTATATTCAGACACAAGGCCTCTAAGAGACAAGTATAATATTCTGGATTAATTTATCTATATAAAGGAGAAAAGGATATGCTCCAGTGAACGCTAATAATGGGCCAGAGGTTAAAAAGAAAATCACAGTCAGGATCCTGAGCTTTGTTCAAGCACTATACAGATTGAAATTCCTAATCTGAAAATCCAAAATCCTGTAAGTGGAAAATTCCACGCTTCAGTTCATGTGAGAGGTTGCAGTCAAAACATAGGTGGACTAAAAATATTAAACAAGCTGGGAATCAGAGGCTCATGCCTGTAATCCTAGCTCAGGAGGCAGAGATCAGGAGGAGAGCAAATAGTTCACAAAACCCTAGCTCGAAAAAAACCCATCATAAAAAAGGGCTGGTGGAGTGGCTTAAGTTGTAAGCCCTGAGTTCAAGCCCCAGTACCTCAAAAAAAATAAATAAATAAAATAAAAAATTAACCAAACTACTTTCAGTCTATGCATATTTGAAATACAAATGAACTTTGCATTTAGGGTTCCATTCCTAAGATTTTATGTATTTGCAAATACTTGAAAATCTGGAAGCATCTAAAATCCAAACCACTCTGGACCCACATGTTTAAATAAGGGAGACTCACCAGGGCTCTTAGCTGCCTCAATAGGAAATGGTAGTTGTGGTGAATTTGTGGCTAAATTATGTGGCTGAATTTACAGAGAACTGGTCAAGCCTCCCTTTGGTATCTTTCTGTCTTTGTATTCAGTAACCCACTTACTACTACACACTGATTCTTGGGAAGGTCAGGGCTTCTAGAACACAGGTGTAGGAGTAGAACAATCTCAGAGTCTGGTCCAAAATGTCCAACATGGACAAATAAGAGCCCATACACATTTAATTCAGAAAAGGTGACTCTGAGGAGAAGCCCAGTGCCAAAGCTATAAGAGGTTATTGGAAAGTGCCAGGAGTGCCTAGGTCTCTATCTCTACAATGGGGAAAGGGAAGAAGCACCCCATCCCACTGGTACAGGTGGTAACCCAGCATGGTCCTCCATGCAACAGTTCCTAAGCAAAGCCAGCTAGTCTCATCAGAACCCCACCAGTCACCACAGGACTCAGCATGTTGGCAAGACCTAGGACACAGCTATGCTGCATGACACCTGCATCCGCTGCCAAATAAAATACACTGAAGAAACATGTACATCTTAATCATCTCTGTTTTAGTTACATAAATTAAGATTTTCAATATTTCACACATGCACAGGAAATTAATGTGAGTCAACTCCCTGTATAGCTATCCTTATCTCAACCAGCAAAAACCCTTGTTCCTTCCTATTATTGCTTATATTCTCTCTTCAACAAAATTAGAGATAAGGGCAAAATAGTTTCTGCCGGGTATGGGGGCGGGTGGTAAGGGAGGGAGTGGGGGCAGGGGAGAGAAATGACCCAAGCAGTGTATGCACATATGAATAACAAAAAAAAAAAAGATTTTCGTTATTTCAAAATTCCCTAGGCTTCCCCCACCCCAGTCTAAACATATTAATAAAAAGTGCTAATGATTCTATGAATGCTTTTATAAAAATTCTATCTTTGAAATACTTTTCTTTCCTCAACCCCTTTTAAATTTCTAAGTGAAGAATGTGCTAGGAATCCATGCAGTATTATTAGGGACAAACTATTTATGTGGCAAAAGAACTATTTCAAGAGGAAAAACTGTTTATGATACCACATACTCTTCTGAGGGTATGGAGAGGTTGCTGGGAATGGACCCAGGGCCCTGGGCAGGCAAAGCATGAGCTCCACCACTGAGCTACAGCCCCAGCCACACGAAGCCAATTCAAGTTCATTTTAAAACTTAATATTTTAGCTTCCAACCAGCTGAATAGTTCATTATCATGGTAAAACTGAAATGGTTGCCTTTATTTTTCAATTTAAATATATGTAAAATGTGAATTAACCAGGTGGATGCTATATTTTCTGTAAACCTGATAATAAGAATAGTTCCCTATTAACATATAAAGAACAGGGTAGATTAAGATTCTATACTCACTTGTAAAAACACTACAGTGAAACCAAAGGGAGAAATTCTAAGTCATAGGTCTTCATTACCTAATTTTTAAAAATGCTTTTGCATTCTTACAAATACTGATTCCAATCTCTGGTTAATCCTGATATTGCTACCTAAAAATAAGCATATATTTTAACACAGTTGCATTTCACCATCCTATAACATTGTTTTTAATGTTGACCGGTTTAACACTTATTTTATTTTAAAAGTTAGCTAGTTTGAAGGTAGAACACATACAGTATAGGGATTGCCATTCAAGGTTTTTTTTTAATAAGATGATTATCCAGATGGCCACACACCCTTCCTGGAAGAACACATTGCTGAGCCATCTAACTAGGACTGAACAGAAAGCTCAACATCCCCAGGAGCTTGGGTAAATTACTACAAACAACTCTGTGTGTGAATATTAGATTCCACTTCCGTTCTTCAGGAAGTGGTTTGTTTAAAAACACAAACTCATCTCTAAAATATTTTGCTGGGTTGTTAGTTAGTATTCATATTAATATGAAAGATTTCTCCAACTGAAAATTTTTGGTGCAGGTATCAACAGAAAAGTAGTATTAAACCAAAGTCATTAATATGCAGTCTAAGTCAAGAAGAAGCTGCCATGCTTAATTCTAAACTCATAATTCTTGGCAGAATAATTTTAGCTCCTCTAGCAAGCTATAAAACACCTAAAATAACACATGTTTACTAAATAATAGCTATTACATAATCTACAATGTGTATGAAAAACTAAAAGAATTCCCAGTGCAAGATTTTAGTTTGAGGAAAACAAAAGCAAAATCTCAAAGGTCAGTATTTATGAGAGTTACATGAAATTGGGGTAGCCTATTTCTAACACACTTTGAAATTAGTTAACAGGAATTTTGGAGAGTAATGTTCTAGGTCCAATTTTAAAAAAAAAAGAAAGAAAGAAATATTCTAGCACAACAGGGCACTAGTGGCTCGTGCCATAATTCTAGCTACTTGGGAGGCTGGGATCAGGAGGATCAAGATTGGAGGCCAGTCCAGGCAGGGAGTACGTGAGATCCCATCTCAACCAATAGCTAAGCATGGTGGTGCATACCTGTCATCCCAAGCTAAGTGGGAGGCTGAGATACACATGGAGACAGGATGAAACCATACTACTTACAGTTCCAAGCATCCACTGGAGCTACAGGGAAATATCCCTGCAGATAAGGGACTACTGTAAAAACCAGTTTTCAGATAATCTTAAATCTCAAAATTACATTGAGCACAGCTGAGTTTAGATTACTAAAACAAGTAAAATTCCCTGATCTCTAGTCAAATCTATTTTCTCCTTAGTCCTGAGCCCCTCAGAGAAACAATGAATAGATTTATTTTTCACCAAGTCAGCCCTTCCTTCTAAATGCCAACTGAATAACAGAAGTATGTTATTCATGTTTTAGCCTACTGAAGTGACACTTGATCAATAAAATAATTCTTTTTTTATCATTTTTACATTTACTTACAAGTGTATACATTATTTGGGCCATCCCACCCCCATCTGTCCCGCTTCTGGGAAGAACCTGTTCCACCCTCGTTCTCTAATTTTGTTGAAGAGAAAACATGAGAAATAATAAGAAAAACATAGCATTTTTGCTAGTTTGAGATCAAAATAGATCTACAGAGAGATTCCTAGCATTGCTTCCGTGCACATGTGTATTACAACCCACAATGGTTCATCTCTGCCAGACCTCTTCACTACTTCCTGGTCCCCTTCCCATAGTGGCCTCTGCCAGTTTAAGATTACTGTATTCACTCCTCTACAGTGAGCCCATCAACTAAATTCAAGTTTTAGGTTTCCTTCCCTTTCCTTCTTCCCATGCACGTTCTCCCCTTAGTATGACCCATATCCAATAATATTACTGCATTTGTTTTAGGGCTATAATCCACATATGAGGGAGAATATGTGATTTTTGACCTTCTAAGCCTGACTAACTTCACTTAAGATGATGTTCTCCAGTTCTATCCACCTACTTTTTAATGACAAAATTTCATTCTTCTTTGTGGCTGAATAAAATTCCATTGTGTATAAATACCACATTTTCTTAATCCATTCACTGGTAGTGGGGCATCTTGGCTATTTTCAAAGCTTGGCTATTGATCAATAAAAAAATTAACAAAAGCAGCCTTGTGACTCCATAAGTTTAATCACATAGAATGCTTATATCTGGGCAAATACTGTAGTCAGCAATTATAAAGCAGACTAAATGTACGTGTTATATTTCAACCTCCACTTTTCAAAGCTTATTACCTATAGTAACCACTTGAGGAACAGGAAGAATATGTGATCGGTTCTGTATACTTAAAGAATTCTGTCTATGCATAGGTATAATATAAATATGTCCCTCTACCTATACACAGGCTTTTTCAAAATAGGATCTTATATTCATAATGCTTAGTAGGCTGCATTTACACTTACCAGCATCTAGCGACATCTGTGAATGTCTTTAAATTCATCATTATGCTTCCTTACTTCATTGCCCCAGAGAGCAGCACCATGATGTGTCTGACTGATCCTCTTTTCTTCAGTCAAATCCTATAGTGACTATGCTTGAGCTAAATGTTCGTGCACAGCCCTCATTTTTTTCTTAGGATAAATTTCTGCAAGTGGAATTGCTGTGTTTCCTTGTTTTGCCAGTCACTCTATAATGAACTTGACTGTGTGCTGTCAAGTTCACAGTAATGAGCCGGAGTATGACTGTGTTCTGTGTGGGCAGACAGAACACCTGAACTGTGGAGCTGTAGGTGTTCTTTTGTTCTGTCATCAAATGGTGTACAGAGTCGATTGTGGTGAGATCATGGGTGACTTTCCTTTTTTGTTTAGCTATAGTTCCTAATTTTGTTTTTCTATGATAAACATGTATCAGGAGAAAAAAATTACTATATTATTTAATGTGCAAATATATAAAAAGTCCTTGATATTTAGGGACATTGGAGAGCTTTTACTATAATAAGGAAAGGTTCGCTATAATAGGCCATTTTGGGAGCACGAGATAGCTTTACAATATGGAATTGTGGTTTGTAATATAGTACTAGAGTTAATCAAATTTTACCAACAGAAAAATTTGTACAAGCAGTGAAACTATTGATATGGAGGGAAGAAGAGATACTTACGGTTGAGTGAAGTCTCGAGTGATGAAATCAGAACTCTTGAAGAGTAGAAAGATGTCACTGAGGGTTTTACACTTTAGAGAACTATTCATTGCTATCCAGTATGCATCCTAAATAATAAAGCACATACCAGTTAGTGCATATTCCACGTTACCTGCTATGAATGAACTTCAGGCCTACAAATGAAATCAATGATGCATTACCACTTCAAGGGCTTTAAAAAAAAAGCGAATTTTAGTAATACTGTCAAATGTCAACTTATACTTCTCAACAACAAAAAGCATGACACAGCCACTGCATGGCATAGCAGAATCACAGTCATGCACACTGAGATAAGTGGTTAGGTCCTCACATTTCAGTCCCAGTGTTTCTCTTACTGATGATGGAAGAAGAGTGGAATGAAATGTTGAACACACTTCAGCTAAAGGATTAAAGCATTAAAGAAGTGGCCGACCAGCTACTCCCCAAAAATAAAAGCAATCACTTCCTTTCTTCCTGACTCGGGAGAGTGACAGCTAAATACCTGAACTTGGATGATTAGGGCAATTAAGACCCACATCTACCAAATCTGGGGGGAAGGAGGTGAGATATTCTGAACCAACAACTTAAAATGGCAAATGCACTGGACATATGAACAAAAAAAAGGGGAAGAATAGCAGGCATAAAGTTTAATAGAATGTGTATAAAATGATAGAGTAAGTTATTTTAAAAACATGCCTCTCCTGTAGATAGCTCAGAAACAGGCTAGTAAAATATACTTTTGGAAAAAAGCTAATGATTACAAAACTACCCATTATTTATGCTACATGGAAGAAACACCAGTACATGGAAGAAAACACTGGTACACATAAGGAACTCAATAAGTGATAAATGAACCAGTGAGTAACTTACAACCATAATCATCTGCCCATCTTAAGTGAAAAGGCTCAACCCACTTCAGAAGGAAGGAATGATTACAACAATTGTTCATACCAGGTGGCAGTGGCTCACGTCTATAATCTTAACTACTTAGGAGGCTGAGATCAAAAGGATCTCAGTTCAAAGCCAGCCTGGTCAAAAAAGTTTGCAAGATCCCCATCTCAATGGAAAAAAGCTGGGCATTGTAGCAAGTGCTTATTATCCCAGTGATGGTGGGATAAATAAAATAAAATAGGATGATTATAGTTCAAGCCAGCCTGGACAGAAAATGAGACCCTAGCGCTAAAATAACAAGAACAAAAAGGACTGGGGCATGGCTCAAGCAGTAGTGTACCTGCCTAGCAAGTGCAAAGCCCTGAGTTCAAACCCTAATACTACCAAAAAAAATAAATAAAATAAGTCTTGGGACCTGCTGATTTTTGTAGCAAACTTATACTTAAAAAATTTTTTTTAACTATGTACAAATGTAACTAATTTTTAAAAGTAAAAATAAAATTTAGATTAGTAAAAGTTACTCATTTTAGAATTAAAAAGGCAAGTATAAGAGATGATTTTTGAAAATGTAAATTAAGTCTTTAATTTCTTAAATGAGATTTGCTGGCATGAAACTTTTCTTTTTTTTTGAAACTTTTCTATTGGATTAAGAAAAAAAAAGAGAAAGAAAAAAAATTTTTCCACAGACCTTAAAAAAATCTTGTCAATGAAGTGGTAGAATAGGAAAGCAAAATTTAAGAAAATAAGAGTTAATTTCTTAAACTGTTCTATTCTACATCTTGTGACCATTTTATTATTACTTTTCAACAGAGAAAATTGTCTCTGTTCAACTGAACAGTTGAAGTTTTAAAATGGGCAGAAAAAGAACTTCAGAATTCTACCACAATCAGCAACACAAGAGGTCAAAACTGTGTTTTGGCATACCCAGGAAAGTACATACAGCAAAAGAAAGTTAAAGAGGAAAAATAATAAATCCCACCATATTTTTCCTAGAGTTAGGGATATAGTTAGCCCTTCCCTGCGGATTTAAAATGAAATGAATAGGACAAAAAAAAGACTAGTTAAGCAATAAGAGTTCCTACCCTTGGGGCACTCCAGTTCAGTTTAGGAAAGACACTGCCCCCCAGGGAATTAATAGCTTCCTGGACTTGAGTGGTGAACTCAGGAAACTCTGGGGCCTACAAAAAGAAAGAAGAAATTGTGGGATAAGTCAGTATCATTACAGCAAACACAGAAAACATGATCAATATCGAAAAGCCATAGCACAGGGTGTTAAAAAGAAAATTTAGGATACAAAGTACTACACAAATTTCTGCACTCAATTAAGTAAAATCTGTGATAAAATATTTACAAGGAAATAAAATACCAACTTCTAAAATGGCTCTTTCCAAAAGAAATAGGAAGCCACAAATCTAAAGACAGAAGTTACTAGATACTGGTATGTGAGGAAGGAGTAAATGGCTCTTTCTGTATATTTACATAAAACTAGTAGTTATTGACTGAAAAGAGACAGGTGAAATATTGCCTGTATATATTCAGTCTCCAAAATAATACCCCATGGGTTTTGTTTTGTTGTTAGATTTTTTTTGAGGTACTGGGGATTGAACTCAGGCCCTTGAGCCACACCCTCATTCGCTTTCAGTTTGTTATTCAGATATAGACTCTCATCTCTGCTGGGGCCTTCCCTAGACCACAATACTCCTACCTCTTCCTCTGGAGTAGCTAAGATTATAACACCCCACGCTTTGAAGGCCAGAACCTTTCCATTTGTGGGAAGAATATCATGGGCATATCCCCAAAGGCTTCGTGAGGATGAAAAATAAATGATGTGGTAAACGGTAAGCTGTAGTTAAACACTACTATTTCCAGAGAAGTTTTAATATAAACAAAACTCAAAAACAGGACTTTGGTTCTTTCCTTGTTGGTTGACTTAAACATGAATACTTTATATAAGCAAGTGACTGAAATATTCTAATGTTTGTTTGATCCAGGAAGTAACAGCAATACTATTTAAACAGGAACTTAACCTTGATTACCAGTATTTCAGTATGGTCTGCTTTGAGCTTTACTTCACTAACAAAGGAGCTTAATGACACAAAATAGAACAAAGGAAAAGGTAGAGAGGAGAAATGGAGCTTTCAGGAGAGACAGAACACAAAGATATTAACATAAACCCTCCACATACTCATTCAATTGCCTTATCACCTATGTTGGGCAAATGCACGTGCCATTCTGGAAAAAAAAATCCAATAATCAACTTATAAAGGTAGAAAAAGTTAGACTAGGTCTAGAATTAACTACTCACTCCGAAAATAAAATCAGTTTATATGGATCTAGCCCAGTTATGAGGGAAAAAAAAACAAACCTGACAGCCTAAAATAGGCCAAAGAAATGGTTAAAAAAAAAAAAAGGAAAGAAAAAGAGTAATATAGCTCCACGCGAGAAACAGTTACTTGCTGTTGTTTACTTGTAAATTTGTTTTGCGGTGCTAGGAATCAAATCCAGACCCCTTGCACATGCTAGGTAAGCACTCTACCATGGAGCTACACTGCCAGCCTTAGAAGCAGTTTCAAGCAAGAGGCTAATGAATAAAGAACAGAGTTGGGACTCTGGACTTGTTAATAGCAGTATCTTTTAATTATGTGATAGGCTGCCATTGTATCTATCTTCCATGACACTACTTCTTCAGGTTACACAGAAAGACTTATGTATTTATTTATTTTTGGCAGTTCTAGGGCTTGAACACTGGCTTCCTGCTTGCCAGGCAGGTGCTCTAGGCAAGGCTCCTGAGTCACACCTCCAGCCTTTTTTTTTTTTTTTTTGAGGCAGGGTCTTGCTATGGAGCCCAGGCTAGCCTCAAACTCTCAGTCTTTCTGCCTCAGCTTCCTGAGTGTTAGAATTACAGGCCTGCACCACCATGACTGGACAGTTCTTCATTTAAAAACATCTCTGAACTAGGTGTGGTTGTGCATGTCTGTCAATACTCTGGAAGCTAAGTTAGGAAGTTTGCAAGTTTGAGGCCAGTCTAGGATACATGACAAGATCCTGCCTCAAAAAAATAAAATTTGAGTGAGAAGAGGGCAAAAAATTAAATGAAATGAATAACTGAATTGAGAGTTCCTTATTTTCTATTTGCCTTTTCCTTTTAAGAGGATTTATGATTCATGTCAAGCCAATAATTTCCTTATAATCACCTGAAGCTGCTGATTTGGCTCTCCTGAAGCTCTATCAGCAAAAACGACTCATCTAAGATCGGCATCAGCAATATGTCCTATAAGTGGCATAGTTACACAAGTTTCATGACATGAAGGGATTCAACCTTTGAAGACAAAATAACTTAATTTTCCAATCCCATAGAACTTGACATCTAATGATTGCTTTATATTTACACATTTATTTTAAAATACATATGTATTTTAAAAATGTGATGGATTCCCTCAAATACTCAAAATTATTCAACTTCAGGAAATTCTACCAAAAGGATCTCTAAACAAAGTTAAATTACAAAAAGTTTACATATAAATTGGTAATCATGCCTGTAATCCCAACACTAGAGAGCTGAGGAAGGATTAAGAGTTCAAGGCCATCCTAGGCTACAGAGTGAGTTCTCATCTCAAAAAAGAAAAAGTTTACATATAGCCTACCCTTCTGGATTATCTGGTTCGTGTTATGTCTGTGGACTATTTTACAACTTAGTAAACTGTAATTGTATAATTAATGATATGAACAAATTCTTACAGACATGCAATTTCTATCTTGTCTGGAAAAGATAAAATTGTCTCCTCTCTCACCCCTGAGGGAGACAAAGCTAGTTTACCTCATTTACATATTCATTTCAATATTTCTGATATATATCTATATAGATTATATATATATGTTCTTTCTTTAGTTTCTCTTTTGCACCAGTTTTAATATTTGCCTGGTTCCTTTATAAGATAAATAAAATGGCTAAAATTCATGACAGAGTTTTATATCTGTATTGGAGTCATGATTTTGTAATTTTCTGAAAATGATAAACAGATTTAACTAATTAGGAATCTTTTAAGCTCATGGCTCAACTAGCCAATTTTAAACATAGATAATACCTTTGTTGTCTAAGGGAAAGTTCCCACTGCAAGTGAGATAAAACCTATACTTTTAGGGTTGGAGGTGTGGCTCAAGTACTAGAGTGCCTGCCCAGCAAGTGCAAGGTCCTAAGTTCAAACCCCAGTACTAAAAAAAAAAAAAAAAATCCATACTTTCACCCAATATTCCAATATCCCTATAGTTTCTGAGATCTCACCTACTTATCTTTCCAACCCACTCATTCACTCATTCAGAAAGGATTTCTTTTTTTTAGAATTATGAAATATATACAAAAATCTATATGCCATATTCCTGGACTGAAACATTCAGCAATTTGGCATATTTGATCAAGATGTTTAATATTTTTAAATGAGCAAAGGTGTTATTGCAGACTACAGTAAGGAAGACTTTTACAGTTCTTAAGAGGAAAGAGGCATTACTGATAGAAATGAAGATCCCAAGCTTGCTCTCCTCCCTAATCCCTTCCCATTTTTCCAAAGGTAACAATCATTACAAGACTGGGCTACATTATTCTTCTGTATTCATGATTGTATACTTATGATATGTGTGCTAGTTCATAAAATATGGCATTCAAAATTTTATGCAAAGGCTGTCATTTGGTATGGATACTTGCAGTGACTTTGTTTTCTTATTTTTGGGGAAGTGTTGACATCAAACTCAGGATGTACTCCACCACTGAGCTTTGCCCCAGCCCATAATGTACTTTTCCAAATTTACCATGTGTTTCTGAAATCTCAATTATTTATTTTTTTCCATTTTGAATTGGTTGCTTTTGCATCAATACTAAGGGATGATTCACCATTCACCAACACCTTGTATTTTCCTACTTTAGGTCTTAGCTTGAATTTTTCCTCTACTAAGAAGGTTCTTCCACCATGAAAGAAACCCTAGCCAAATCCATCTAGTTCCACTGATGAAACTCAACTATTTTTAAAATTATTAACTTCTTAATTTTAATTTCACTTTCAGAACCATCATAAGAAAAGTACCAAGAATGTTTATATACCTTCTCCCAGACTCTCCATCCACCACATTTGCTTTATCATTCTCCCTCCAACCTTCCTCTGCCATTTAATCTTGCATCTCTACTTGCACTTACATATACATGACACATTTTTCCTACACTGTTTTAGAGTAAGTTGCAGTCACTAAGCTCCTAAACACTTCAAGTATTTCCTTAAAAGCTTCTTTCCCTTACACAGCACAGTAAAACGTTCAAAATCAGAGAGCTGACATAAATACAATAATATTACCTGATATATAGGTTATTTGCCCTCTTTCCTAATAATGTCTTTTATAGCAAAAGAAAAATCTGAACATTTTTTTCCTGGTCCACGATCCAAGCTAGAATCATGCACTGCATTTAGGTGTCATGTCTCCTTTACTCTGTAACAGTTACCCTCTCTGTGCTTGTTAATTGTTCATGACCTTGACGTTTTTGAATGTCAACAGGGCAGTTATATATAATGTTTAAAGAGCTGACTTTTTTGGCTATTTCCTTGTGATTAGACTCAAGTGGCACAGTTCAGATTACTCAGTTGTAGGATGTTCATCCTGTGCATCATATCAGGAAACCCATCATGGAAGTCTGTCCCATCATGGATAAGGTTAACTTGGTTAGCTGGCTGCCAGATCCTTCTACTTTAAAGTCACTATTTTTCTTTTAGTAATTAGTAAGTACTTTAGGTGGAGACACTTTGAGAATACGCAAATATCATCTTTCTTATTAACTATTTACCCACAAGTTTTAATACCTATTCAATTATTACTAGGATAGCTGCCAAAGAGTGACTTGTAATTCCATCATTCCTTCTTCTTTATCAGTTAGCGCCTTTAGTACTATAAAGGCTGTCCCATCTCCACAACACATTTAATCAGTTATTTGATGCCAGTGTGTGAGCATGGATTCTTATATTTTAGTCAATGAATTATAATGTTATTAACATTATTTGTTGTGATGCATAAGTTTTTATTCCAGTGGGAGCCCATTCAAACTAAACTGACTCCTGGCATCTTTTTTCATTGTTCTTGGAGCACTTCCTTAGTTTCAGGCACAACAAGCTGCTGCAGGCTGATTTTTACTTTCCTACCC